AAATATCCTGTATTGACCGTCTATACATCCTGTGAATAATTAAAATAATGTTAAAATCACTAAGTCAGGCTTATCCCTCTGTTTCTTTCAAGATATGTTCCACAGAAAGGAGATAAAGTACGATGAACATCAATGAACTGCCACTCAATTAATCTTAAGCAAATAATTTCGGCCTTTCGCTTATATGAAAAGTTGTCCCCAAATTTTTATCACTTTATTTTCGCTTCTGACATTTGTATTAGCATTTCCTACAGAACATTTACAGGTTGGATATCAGTTTCTAAAGGGATGTCTCACTATACGCTACTTGTGTTCATTCTTATGACTAATACCCAGTGTGAAGTGAAATCAGGATCGATAAGTAAACAAATAGTAAGTGTGAAAAATCAAAACAGGACCAGAAAGTTGTGCAAATCAAATTTTGAAAGTGAATAATACAAAATGCAACCAGGAATCAGACAAGAAAAGCGGTTTTCAACTGTTAAATTTTCGTGTCACGAATCAACCATGTCAAGGTGGACCGGATGCTCATCAAAGACGGCAGCACTATATCATGTGTTGAAAAATATGGAACCTAGTGGAATTACTTACTACCACAGTGCCCAAGTTTTACACATATATTAGTTTGAGTTAGGAGCAAGGGGTGTGGGATCAAAGGTTGATGCATCGGTTTTGATAGGTCTGGAGAACCGCAACGATTTTAGGACCACCGTAGGGTCCAGACTGGACTAAACTTGTTGTTCCAGAGTTTTGTCCATTTTCAGAAAATCCGACCAATCCGTGAACCATTATGAGTTGATTTTTTCAAGGTTCTAATGACAACCATAAACTTGCATGGTCAGTCAAGTAAGGTCAACAATAGGTAAAAAGATATCAATGAAAACAAAACACGTAGATCAGTGAAGAGTCTCTCTTCGGCGGCGAATTCATTCATACTTAGCTGTACAATCGCAAATACATTTTGGTTATTTTGTATGTATGTGTACATTAAGTTTGTCAAACAAAATACAATTGGTTATGGTTATTTTAACTAAACGGGTAAAGATTGGTAATTGGAGCTACGTAATACAAAATTGGTCAAGAAAATTGGGTGTTAATGAAATTAGGGTAGTAACAAAGGTGATGAGTTGTCAGAAACAATTGGTAAAAAGAAGTTATGTAACAATATGAATAGTTTGATCATTGGTTTTCACTCAGGATACACATCAGAACAAAGTAGAGAATGCGAAATTACGTAAGAGTTCTAAATGAAAACAAGAATTAGATATGATGGAGAAGATTTGTAGCTCAGGTGGATGATTTTGATGTGGTTGTGTTCTCTGAGCTGAATAGTTAATTTGCGAAGCTTTCATCACCCTTCAAATTGAGGTATGCGCTGAAAATGTCACCTAGTAGGGTGATGAAAGCTTCGCAAATTAACTATCGAGCTCAGAGAACACTACCACATCAAGAATACAAGAATTATAAGCAATTAAAGAAACAGTCAAACAAACAAAATTAAGTCATCAAAAATCAACAAAGTTGTTACCATGACAGTAGAAGCGGTTGAGTAATTCTCTTTTGTATGCACAGCTCCGGTTTTTCTATGTGAATGGCAGAGCTTTAGCGATACAAACAAGACGAAAGTATAGTGCCTTTAGTAGGTTATTCTTGACTCTGTAGATTACATTGAAGCAGGAGGCGTTTGTTGAGATGGAATGATCAGTGTTAACCAGGTGTTCAATTATCGCATTGACATTCTCTACTTTGTGTATCCTGAGTAAAAGTCAATCATCAATCTATTCATATTATTACATAACTTCTTTTTAACAACTGTTTGTGACAACTCATCACCTTTGTTACTACCCTAATTTCATTAACACCCAATTTTCTTGACCAATTTTGTATTACTTAACTCCAATTACCAATCTTCACCTGTTTAGTTAAAATAACCATAACCAATTGTATTTTTGTTTGACAAACTTAATGTACACATACATACAAAATAACCAAAATGTATTTGCGATTGTACAGCTAAGTATGAATGAATTCGCCGCCGAAGAGAGACTCTTCACTGATCTACGTGTTTTGTTTTCATTAATAGCTGGATGGGGATTATCCATGATTCTGTTCTACTAACCGAGTTATAGTATACTAGCTAAGACAGCTAAACAACCTGAACTGATTTCGAAACCACAATGAAACAACTGTCCACAGACTACTGGTTTCTAGTACAAAATTATTCCTATCCATAATACTGGAAACATCTGTGTCGTACGCGTTCTTTAACTTAGGATATTCTCTAATATTCATTCCCTACATTATCCTCATTGTTACCTACCATGGAGTGGCAAAGTGGCTAGGTGAACTCCTCCAACCGTTACACAAGAATGTGGTAAATCATAGTGTTAAAGATGTTTTTGAATTCATTGCTAACGTACATGATATCAGTGTAAATGGGAAGCAAATGCTATCCTTAGATGTCGCATCACTGTTCACCAATGTACCACTTATGGAGACTGTGGAATTCATATGCTAACAGATACTAGAAAAACATTTCGACATCGGAATTCCAGTTATTAGTCTGAAAGAGTTGCCTTTAAGATGTACTATGAATGTGCGCTTCACATTCAACAACCTTTATTAAAGACAAATCGACGGCATTGCCATGGGTTCTCCATTGGGGTCAATTTTGGCAGACGTCTTTCTTGCTAAGATTGAAAATGGTCCACTGAAACAAGTAATAGATAAAATGGATTCTTATTTTCGTTATGTTGATGAGACGTTCATTATTCTTGATGTGGAAGCTTACAAGAATGAAATCTTAATCAAGTTTAATGATGCACATCCATCGCTCATCTTCACTTGTGAAGAAGAACATGATGTTCAATTGATGTTCAATTGAGCTGAAGAGAGGATGGTTCACTCAAGAGAGATGTCTATAGAAAACCTACATCTGTAGGACAATATACACATTTCCTCAGTTTTGTACCAATCCGATACAAAATCACTTTGATCAGATGCCTCACGAACAGAGCAAGATGGATCTGTACAGATGACTCCCTAGAAAATGAGCTAGGATATATCCAAAATACTCTGGTCCAAATAGGTTATCCTAGTAGATTTGTAAGGAGACACATGAACACCAAGTACAATAAAGAGGAACCAACAACAGTTAAAAAGAAACAACTGTTCATGAAATTGAAATTTAATGGGGATGTGGCTAGCGAAGTCTTACATTTGAGATTGTCAAGAGCAATAAAACGAACTTATACTGCCGCCACCCTTTGTTTGTCATTTTCCAGCTGACCACTTATGATTGCTCAAGCGAAAGTCAAGCTACCTAGCTGTGCTGCTTCTGTCTATATCTACAATTTTATTTGCTCCTGTGGAGGAAGGTGTATAGGGCGAACAACTAGACAGCTTAAAAAACGTATTAATGAGCATCTTCCCTCACGGTTCGGAAAAAGCAAATTAAATTTATAAGAAGTTCTATTTTGACTCATTTGATTGATAACGGTCACCAAGTGGACAGAAATAGTGCCTTCTAAGTTACCTATCGCATTATATCGAACCTTTCAAACAGAATTCGAACCCGTCTTTTACACATAGCCGAAGCTATGGGAATTAATTCGAGAGAACAATCCTAGTCTTTGCATACAAAGGAAGTTTGTTCTACCTTTGTCTCTCCTTTGACCTAGGTAAATTCTAATTAAAAACCTCCCACACTTTCTTATTTTCCATTTCCTTCGTACTTTTATGATACTTATTTAAACTCTGATTATCTGTCCACTTTAACTTTAGTATTACGTAACTTTTAAGATTTGTTAAAACAAATAGTCCCTTTGATAAATTTGAATAAGGCATTTAGAAGACAAATTTCGCGAGATGATATCATTTCGTAGTTTCTTTACAACCGCTTTACAATTAACATGGTTAACAATAATAAAATAAAGTTCATGACAATTACTCAGTTAAATAAAAACAAAAGTACATACTAATGACCAATCATATTTAGATAGGTCATGTAGTCCATGGTAGGCGAAGATTGAAGTCTATTGTTCTTTGTACACACAGTTTAGGATGTATGCGATTAATCCAAAGTGCTTCCATCACCTTCAATAACCTTGAATTAGAGTTATATGAAATCAACTTCAACTTATCATTGTGTGTAAACTATTAAAATATAATTATACTTTATTTGATCTAATCCACAATGCTCAAACTTTTTACTGATATTAATTGCTTCCATCACCTTCAATAACCTTGAATTAGCGTTATGTGATGAAATAATTGTGAAACAGTCATTAATATTGATCTTGTGACCTGACATTAATGAGTGTTTTGCAACGGATGATGCTGGATTTCTATTCAGATTAATCGCGTTGGGATTTTCTATATGATTTAGTAGCCATTTTGGAACATGTTCTTTTCGACGACATTGGAACATTCTGTTGGTTCTACCTATATAGGTGTCACCGCAGCTGCAGGTGAACTTGTAGATACAGTTTGAAGATTTGACCTAATCATTTATTTATTGAATTGTCTACATATACACATATTACTACCTTTGTTATTCTTATCGCCACCTGCATAACCCTTATTATCATTATTTCGTTCAAAACATTTACCACATTATTATTATTATTTGATCCACAAAATCACCGTCATTGGTTAAAAAATTTTATATATAAATCTATGTAAATCAGAGTAAAGCTTGAAAACAATATTGTTGGCTAATATGGCTTGTTCTAATATTAATAATGGGGATATTTAAAGACGAGTAATTTTCATGCACACTTTTAATTCGCAGATGATTCACACCTCTCACCTAACCACAAATCAAATTGAGTTTTATCTTAAATGAGTGCACCTATGCTGAAAAGCCTATAAGCATAGAAGTATTGATTTTTTTTCTGTATTGGTAGTAAAACAAGGTCTCTATATCTTGATTGGTCAACATCTTCTATTAGAGTCATTTTGATAATAATCTATCTTACATCATTTATATTGCTGAACTCATGAGATTTTCATGCAAGCTTGGTAATCTAACCTCAGCCTCATTGAACAAATTACATCGTACTACAAAAACGCATTCAAGCAAAAAATGTATATCATGCTTTCTGACTTTTTTACTGATATTAGTGATATACGTTTTTATGGTGAACAAAGTGTTGAATTTCTGGGGCACAGAAATTACTCTTCAAGAAAATTCCTTAACATCTATCGAAGACACCGGTGAATCTTTGTCAGTATTATCCAGTCTACGAACTCATCGCATCACTGAACTCGAACCTCATAGTGTGACTACTGATCACGTTCACCTGACAACCACTGAAAACCTTCAACATGATGAAATTAAACTATATGAAAAGGAATTTAAAACAATTTTAAATTTCGAGTCTTTAAAACGTCCAAGCGTTACACTCGGCGACAGAAACCAGAATGATGATGCCCTTAAAAATCTCTTCCCTCCATTATATCCTGATAGTGGATTCTGTTTAAAGAAAACTAGATTCTATTTTGGAGATAGAAATGAAAGCTCCAATTTAATGACACGGATTATAAATCTAACCGATGCATTAATACCACCATTGAATATGACGATATGGTCAAAAATAGCGCCACGTGTATGTCAGTCAATTAAAACAAACCTTTTAATAATCGTATTCTCTTCAAATGAAAATATTGCAGTCCGACAAAAAATCCGTCAAACATGGGGTTCAGTTAAGTATATTTTCAGTGAAACAACAACAAATAAACAAAATTCGAATGGATTAAAAATCATTGAACACTTGTTCATTGTTAATATGAGTAAATCAAATTCACCGCAAAATTCAGCTGAATTTAAACAACTCATACATGAAGCTGAAGTAGAAAAAGATATTCTACCCTTGTTTTTAACCGGTATACAGCATAATTATGCAAGTTTGCATATACTAGCTAGTGAATTTCTTCTACATTATTGTAAGAAGTCTGTAGATTTTGTTCTTTTCATTAATGAAGATATATTTCCAAATTTAAACGCTTTAATTCAGTATACAAGTTCAAAAAAATTGCAGCTTGACGCATTAAATTACATTAATCTACGCATATATTGTATACCAATTGAAAAGAAACGTATGAAGGCAAAACCAAATATAAAATTTGATGATATGAACATACTGGCTGAATGGAATGGTAAAATCTATCCTAATCATTGTGATATTGAAGATAGTGGTTTTCTAATGTTGTATGAAACAATGCAGAAATGGTATACATGTTCTCGCATCTATGAACCTTTTCATCCTGTTCAAGTTTATTTAACTGGTCTGTTAAGATTTGTTGCAAAAATTGAATATGAAAGTTATTGGACAAATTATTGGACAACTGGATATCTGTTACCAAGTATGGCGTTTAATAAAAATAATAAACGATATTTATTCTTCAAAGGGTCAGTGAATCAGAGTAGTAGAGTATGGAAAAGTGTTTTCCGGGGAATATTAGGTCAATAAGATTGATAAATTACATTCTCTCTTTTTTCCTTTTTTTCCTTAGAGTTATTGTGCATTTTTGTTTCATTTAATGGTGATGATGATAATTATATCGATATATGTGTGTATTTTTGTGTTTTCTTTTTCGGAATTATAAATATATTACTGATGAAGTAGTATATACTTACTTATTGAAAATATCAGTCATGCGGTGTATCATTTTGAATGTATTCTGACAGAGTTATGATTGTTATTGGGTTCCGAGTGGAACATAGGGCGTCAACCAGTGCACATCTCCACTTTCTTCTGTTTTTTCTGCTGTCATCTGCAGCTGGCTAGCTTCACGATTGACCATAATCTTTCATCTCCTCCTCCAGCACACACGATCTCCTCCATGTCACTATCGCACTGACGACCCACTCGACGCTTCCCATTCGGATTCCACTCAAGCGATGGCCCACATTGCGCGCGATGTCATTCGACGGCCTCCTCAACGTATGCCGAATCTATCTCCATTTTCTCCTACACATTTGTTAAACACTTGGCTCTTGGTTGGTTTGCTCCCAGCTAGAGTTTCTTGTTGCTAATTTTTTCTCGCTAGTCGGCCATTTGATCTTCTGTATGGAGTCAGCGAAGGTGGGAGCTGTTGATAAAAGTCTGCAGTAGCCTGTTGGAAATCGTTTACGTGACTGACACTCAGTGCAAGTTTCTGACCCATATAGAAGAACTGACTGACTAATCTCGTTATTTATGCTAGCTGAGTGACACAGAAGATTTCCAAACTGGCTTCAAGTTGATGAAGACGTATCTAGCCTTTCTGATTCTACCTGGCCTGCTTTGACACCTTCACCCGTTCCGAGTGCCTGTGGATGAAACCGTGCTTCCTGGATAAGTGAAGAAAGTAACCTCTGAAACGTGGAATGTATTGGCGCAACACATTTCGAACATTCTGATCACACACGTACTTGTCATACACAGTTTTTATATAATGCAAGAAGGCATGAATAATTACAATACAGGTCAGATTGTATACAGGTCAAGGTCACAAATAATGTGTAGGGAGACACAAAAGGTGTGGGTAAGAAAGATAAAAGGAGAAAAAAACAAGGCAAAGAAGGGGTTGAAAATATTAGGAAGTAAATTAGCCCTTGGTGCTAAATTGAATTACCAAGGCAGGTTTAAGGTGATCAGAATGTCCGAAACGTGTTGCGCCAATACATTACACGTTTCAGATAAACTACGTCTTCTTATTGTGTTGTCAGAATTCATAAAGGCAACTAATTGCTTTAAAAAAGTAACCTCTGTCAAATCTCTCCCGTTGATGGTGGTTGGTACTGGTTGTTGTCGGTGTTATTATTACCTTGAGTTCCGAGTGGAACATAGGGCTTCAACGACATATGTCCACTCTATAAATTCGGGCACTGGGTATATAATATTCATTATAATAAAGGTTTTTTTGTATTTCTTAATGAATGAAAAAGAGCAAAACGATATTGTTGTGTTTTACTGACGTTTCGCTATTTAATGCTGCCGTTAATAGCTTTATCAAAGTATTATTAAACCAAACCAACCCAAACTAGGACGAAACAGCTGTCCAGTACTCCCAGGTTTTCCAATGGTTCTTTAACTATTTAATATTAATTAGTAGAATTTCCACCACACTTCCAAAATTTTAGTGAGATCACTTACAAATTCAAAGTAGCTCTTTTGATTTACGCTAAGGTTATACAACAAAGTTAGAAGACTTTCTGTTTTCGATCAAACAAACAAGCTGAAGGGATGCAGATATTCAGACACGTTGAATTTAGCGTTAATTGCTTTCCCGGGTAAGAAATATTATTCTGAGGTATCTAATGATCTTCTGTACAATATTCAAGTAGTTTGTGGCGGCCTGTTTAAAACCTGGGCTTCCAAAAACTTCAATCTCTCCAATGAATATAGTTTCTCTCGTTCAATTTGTTTTAATTGACTAAGATATTACCTAGGTTGTTAATGTCTGCTCTTGTGTGTATTTAAAATGTTTACAAGCGCCTGATTATGGGTGGTAACGTGTTCCAATACATGAGATAACTGTTCTTCAGTTGCGTCCTTGACCCTCAAAATGTACTTCTGAACATCTTACAATTGGCTTTCAACTAGATATCGTAGATTTCATGAAGGGAGGAAACAAAGCAGATATACCACATAATGGAATGGTTTGTGCCTCAGGGAGTATTGTGTCACACACAGGATGTACTGTCAATTAATATTTTACTTGAAGATATTGTACAAAGGGAAAATATCATGCAATAAACTCCTCTGAAAATTCTGTACATTTTATAAATACTGTCCAGAGTAAAAACGTTGTTTTTAATGTTAATCCACATCACCAGCAGTTCTTCAAGTATATCTTAGTCGTTATTCATCACTGTTAAAGGATTAGGACATGTAATTTTGAACACTATACCACAGAATCAGAATTATTTTTGTTTAATTGTCGACATACCAAGATAACAAGTACCTGATAATATGAAAATTTCATTAACTCTTTCAACTTAGAGTAATTTAAGTCAGTAATATCGTGAAATCAGTTGAGAAGAGAAAAAAATTCAAATATTTTTCGCCGAAAAGCATCATCATGTTGAATGGCTAGAACTGAAAAAGGCCAAGTCAAAGTGTTCCAATCCAGGAGGGTGAATGCTCCAATGACCTTGAATGCATACTAGTCGTTAGATAACACGACCTACTATTGCTATAGAGTAAATATGAACACTCCCTAGGGCAAATAATGCTTGGGTTTTGAGAATTTACGACACAGAGCTACAGAAAGGAATTGTGGTGTGGAGTGTGCTACTGATAAGATTTATCAGTAGTACATAAACAGACGTTCATCGGTATAAAAGTATCAGATAGCAGGAAGATAGATTTGACTTCAGAGAAACAAGGGAGACATGGAAGGAAGATAGAGAAACACAATATGAAGGCGAGAAGTAGCACAACACGGAAGATCTGTGAAAATGGTGATTTGAAAATTAGATGTGCATAATTTTATTATAAAGACATACCGAATTGCAAATAAACATGCCTTTACCTCGTTCCTCGGCTTCCAACGTTACAGAGGTAGTTTTCAATCGTATTGCAGACACTTTTCTACGAAGGTTGGTCATTCCGGGCAGTACTTTACATACAGACGAATGGGCTGGATTCAATCACTTATCAGATTTAAGTTTCACCCATCATCCAGTGAATCATTCAGATGATTTTGTTGACCTTCTTATTGCAATCAATAGCAATTCAATCGAGGGCTTTTGCGGAGGATTTAAATATAGGATAAGAGCAATAAGTGGGATACAAAAAGATCTCATCTTCAGCTACTTCGATGAATGCTTAACTTAAAAACTGGTACTTCTCAGGAAGAACTATCCTGTTTAACGTCTTCTTCTCAACAAACGTCATTTTTATGCATAAGTCACTGTTTTTCCAAATGGTCGCCTCAAGGTCATTCGTGCGTTTGCATTCCATGGATCGGTATAGTTTAACTTTGCCCTGAATAACTCCACAGAAAGTTTTCCTTATTGTAAAAAGTTTTTAAATTACTTCTCAGTCCATGTTCCATTCTACTACTTAAGTGTTTAGTCACATCATTGCAATTCCTACTCTTCATGAAAAATTCCCATTCTAACATTAATAGACAGAAGACAAGTAGATCAGCGAAGAGTCCCTTTTCGGTGAATTCATTTTCATAGCTGTACAATCGTAAATATATATGGTTGTTTTGTATGTGTGTGTGTGCGTGTACATTAAATTTGTCAAACGAAAATGCAATTAGTAAGTTCAGGTGAGTTGGATGTTGATATAAGAGAGTAGTAACAAAAGTGATGAGTTGTCACAAGCGACTGTTAAAGACGAGTTGCGTAATAACATGAATAGTTTAATGAAAGAGTTGTACTCAGGGTGTATATGGAAACAAAATATATGGAATTACACAAGGGTTTTAAGTAGAAAAATAAGCATCCAAACAAAAGGAGTGCAATAATAGAACATCTAGTCACCACTGGTCATTCCATCTCAACAAACGCCTCCTTCAAAGTAATCCACAAAGTGAAGAACAACCTTCCAAAGACAATACGTTTCCGTCTTCTTTGCATTGCAGAAGTCCTAGCCATTAGGCTAGAGGAACCAGAACTGTGCATACAAAAGAAATTATTCAACCACTTCTACTCCCAAGGTAACAACTGTGTTGATTTGACTTAACTTTTCTTTGTTTGTTTGTTTGATTTGACTTGACTTTTGTTTGTATGCTTATTTTTCTACTTAAAACCCTTGTGTAATTCCATATATTTTGTTTCCATATACACCCTGAGTACAACTCTTTCATTAAACTATTCATGTTATTACGCAACTCGTCTTTAACAGTCGCTTGTGACAACTCATCACTTTTGTTACTACTCTCTTATATCAACATCCAACTCACCTGAACTTACTAATTGCATTTTCGTTTGACAAATTTAATGTACACGCACACACACACATACAAAACAACCATATATATTTACGATTGTACAGCTATGAAAATGAATTCACCGAAAAGGGACTCTTCGCTGATCTACTTGTCTTCTGTCTATTAATTCCTATTCTGACTCAATTTAATTTGATCTCAGAATAGTCTAAACTTTCTAGAATATTTTCAGCTGGTGTGTAAGTTTGAAACAGAGTTCACTGAAATCATAGGTTCCTTCTGTTTGTTTTTAAAGCCTATCCATACTTGTGACAAACTAACTTATGGAACTTGCAATTCACAAATTAACTAGCAACATATTATTTGAGGTCTTGATGACACCACTATTAGAAAAGGTGTGGAAAGAGGGCAAGGTACTCGAGGATTGGAAGAAAGACCACCTATTCAAACTGCCAAAGAAAGGAGAATTAAGTAAATGCGGGAACTGGTGCGGAATTATGCTACTGTCCATCCCAAGCAAAATACTAAGCCTCATCATCCTGGAGAAAATGAAACACGCCACCGTGGATGAAGAACTTCGACC